TCTTTCTTTCTTTCTTTCTTTCTTTCTTCTTTTTTCTTTCTTTCTTTTTCTTTCTTTCTCTCTCGCTTTCTTTTCCTTCCATCCTTCTTTCCTTCCTTCCTCTCTCTCTCACCCTCTCTTCTTTCTCTCCTTCCTTCCTTCCTTCCTTTTCTTTTCTTTCATTTTTTCTCAGCCTTGCCCCCATCCTCTCTCCTCCTCTCTATATTTAAAATGAATCTGATAGACATGTTTATTTCTAGTGTATTTTTTTTCCTTACATATGTGGAGGATATCACTCTGTCAGTGAACGTAGATCATCACTTTTAAACGCGGGAGAACTTTTTACTCTATGAATGTCCTAGCATTTATTTAAGCAAGCCCATGTAGTTAGGAATTGAAAGTGCTTAAAGTACTCATTTTTAAAGTCCTAGATTTTGTTGGAGTAAAAGCAAGGACTTCCTTACGGCAGGCTATTTTCCTCCCACAGTGTTTCAAGATCAGTTAAATGACACAAGAGTTGGTAAAATATATAATCTGTTTTCTATTCCAATTTTCAAACCATGGAGTTTTAGATAGTTCAGATAAAACTACTGTGCAGACTTTTCAATATCTATCCACATCAAATTTCTGCCTCATATTTTAGTTGCAAAATAATTTCTGGTTACTGAAAAGTGCCTTTACAGAATCATAATTTCCACGTGCAGAGGCTATTCATTTTCTGGACAGTTTCCGTCTTCATGTATATATCTTTTGAATGTGAATGAGAGTTAGGCTTTGAAGATTAAAACTTGCAGTAAAACTTTCTTAAGAAGCCAGTGTGGGTCCTTAGAGTTTTCATTCTTAATATATTTTCCTTTTATTATTCCCAGACTTCTCAGAGTGGGTGTCTATGGCCTATTCCAAACTGGGGTCTGTAGGTATGAGCAATGAAGACCCTGAAAGTTCTGTTCCAGTCTTTAAACCTCATCATTCAAGTGCTGGACTCACTTTTTCCTTCACTCACATTTTCCCTTCATTTCCCTGAATTCTATTGGAGTGGTTTAAGATAATTTTAATTAGAAGCAGCAGCCAAAATGAATACTTGTATTACAGTAGAATAATTAAAAATGTATGAGAATGATATATTTAACATTTTCATTCTAAAAACAAGCTCATCACTATCGAGTTTCTATAAAATTCTCACTAATATTTGCTGTTGACTATTGACTCTTGGTTATAGATATTTTAAGAGTAGAGCTATGACCTGGGTCTTTCTCACATATGGGTCAGTGTCAACGGAAGAAATAGTGCAAAATAGTTAAATGAAAATAGGGGAATGCTAGGATGCTTTAGCATCAGATAAGAGATACTGAGGATATCAGCTAACAAAGGACTTTGCAGCATGTCATACACAAGTCTTTGCAGAATTGGATGCCGCAGGTCCCAGTCTATGTTATTTCACAGACAAGGGAGCTAGACTTCGAGGTTGTGGACAATATGCTGTGCGCTAATGGTTACAGTGTAAATTACCACTTGCTATTTGTGTAAACTCGAATGGTTCCAGGAAAAAATGTAAGGTTGCTAATAGAGGTATATGCAACACAATAAAGGTAAAATAAATCTAAAATGGATGCCAAAAATGAGGAAAAGCGAAAAGTAGGGTTGGAAATAAAGAGAGAAACAGAAAAGAGATTAATATTAATGATATGTGCTATGAAGAGTATACATTTGAAAAATTGGATCACAATTCTGAGACTTCATAATACCATTTCTATAATCATAATTTAGAAAATATGTTAATCTTGCTTTATCGTTTAAGAGTAGGATGAGTAGAAATCTAAAATATATTAACAAAAGACTGATCCTTGTAGAAGCAGCTACACTAAGTAAGTGAAATCTGACATAAATGTATTTACAGAATCATCAAAAACAGACCAACCTCCAGGGTACATCCTTTGGTAACACCAACATAATCGGGACTACTGAGTATATTGTATGGAGTTCTTGAAATTTCAATATCTTTGAGGCAGCCGGAATATTTCTTCAAATTTACTTCTGGCCTATTGAATAGTCAAATGAAAAGCAAAAGCAATATCATCAGGGTGATGGTAGTGTAGTCTCTGACTACTGGAAGGAAGCCTTATGGAGCAGACACATGCAGACACATGTCTATCAAACTGTGCACACCTATACCCAGCAAACTCTGTTTCCGTTATCTACTGGTTGGTCTAATTGGATGTTAATACTATCCTGTAGAAGGAGTCTTTTTGTAGTTCTTCTTCTCCCCTTTGACAATAATCTCACCCACAGCATTTAAGCATGAGGTACAGGAATTAACTGACTTCTTATTAATGCTTTATATGTGTAATGAATTAAGTTTTCTTTTTTTTTCACCAAAGAGAACATAACTGCATAGGCAGCATAAATAAACCATGTGCCAAAAACTTTGTATTGCTCAAAAGTTAGAAAAAAAAATCTGAAAATGTTTATTTTGAAAAAGATTTTTTAAATTGAGGCTTTTTTCTTGGGAGATAGCTGAAAAATAATATTACATATTTCTTTAAGGCTTTTAAGTAAAATAAAGTCTAAGCAACACTCTTTTGGATTAAATAGTCTGAAAACAGATGTTTAAAAATTAAGTTTAGTGATCGGGTATAGTGGTTCATGCCTGTAATCCCTGCATTTTGGGAGGCTGAAGAGGGAAGATCACTTGAAGCCAGGAGTTCAAGACCAGCCTGAGCAACACAGTGAGACCCTGTCTTTGCCCTCCACCGCAAAAATAAATTAGCTGGGCATGTTGGTATGTGCCTAGACTCCCAGCTACTTGGAGATGCTGAGGAGGGAGGATCTTTTGAGCCCAGGAGGCTGAGGCTGCAGTGAGTTATGACCATGCCACTGCACCCCAGTCTGGGTAACAGAGTGAGATCCATGTCTCAAAATTTTAAAAAAAGTTTTTTTTTTTTTTTACAGATTAGTTTATTTTATGAATTGACATCGAAGTCTGTAATCTGTATTAGAACAATAACAAAATAAAGCAACCAAATGCAAAACCCCATACATTTCATTTTTTTAATCAAATTGAAAAACGACTTTTACACTCAAACTACACATTAATGTTTACTTTTGCACACTACTTCATAAAATGTGGCAAATGTGCCAGCAGATTAGAAAATGATGTCCTTGCCCTTGAGTCCAGTTGTTGTAAGCGATCTGATTTCTCCAGGACTCTGTGTTGTTGTATGTGAAACGGGCATGATGATAATAATCATAGTATCTACATGATCAAGTTTTGCAGGTTTACTAAATTAAGGAACAGCCTTGCACACAGTAATTGCTCAATGAACAAAGGCTAGTAGAATGTCAATGACGTTGATACTTCTTTAATTATAACAGCACTGTCCCACAGAACTTTCTGTGATGACGGATATTGTCTGTTCCGCACTGTCCAAATCAGTAGTTACTAGTTACATGTGGCTATTGGGACATGAAATGTAGCTTGTCCCAATAAGAAACTGAATATTTATTGCTACTTAATTGTATTTAATTTATAGGTAAATAGCTACTGTGACTTGTGGCTACTATACTGAACAGTGAAAGTATATAGGAGTAAAAAGATAATTCTTTATGTGGCATTAATCAGCATTGGCACCAATATATTGTACTTGATAGAGTGATGATTAATTCTCTCCTCATTGTCCCATGATGCCAAGTTCCCTTTTTTATCTTAATGAAAAACACATGGCATGAGGAAAAACAGGTGGAGAAACAAATTAGACCTTGGCAGTGTATATCAGGTGACTTATTTCATGTCAGGTATCTGTCTGTTTCCAGCCCCTACTCCTTTCTGGGATTTCTTTATTTTCATTGATAATTTTTTCTTGTTCCCAAGGTTTTGTTTTTGTTCAGTCAGTATTTTATTATGAAGAACTTGCCCAACTTGAGGGCGAGAATCTCATTTATATTTCTCTTGTATAATGCAAAGGAAATGGTGAACTTCCTTAACAGTGAGTGTTCACTTGCTTCTATATTTTCCTTTATGGAAAGACTGACTAATCACAGTTTTTTTCAGAGGTGTTGTTAATAAAGTAAATCATACCTACAAGTTATGTAGTTCATTGCTTCGTGGAAACACAAAGAACCATTCCACAATATGATTTAGTAACCTCAATATTAGGACAATCACAGGGGATAAATAGACACATGAGGTGACTGGACTCAGCGGTAACCACCGGTCTGTTTCTTGAGGGTCACCACGTAAAGACAAAATGACAAAGCTACAGAGTGCTCTCCAATATATATTTCCATGAAAGCCAGCCTTTGCTTTTTAGCCATCTCAGCAAACATAGCACAACTGGTGGTCTGAAAACTGTATCATGATAAAACACATGGTTTATTTTTTCCCTACTTTCATTTTTGTATATTCTATTTCTCCTATTGAAAAGCTAGCCTTGGTTTTAAAAATTTCTTGGATCAGTTTGGCTTTATTATCTTCTTTCCAGAAATTTGGCACAGCTGGGCTCTGACATGCCAAAACGCCAGGCTTTAGCTCTAGCCAGAGCATGCCAGCCCTGCACGTCTCTGGGGTTTGGTTAGCCATTTATGGAGGCTTGCTGCTCACAGCTTTTATGCTAATGCAAGTAAGAATTAAAATGCTCCCGAGAAGCTAGGAGAACTATCTCATACTTCTTTACTATTCATGCAAATACTTATTTTAAATATAGTATTTCCAGAGATTCCTTCATTTGGCACCATAGCTAGTTTTAAATAAACATATCAATAGATAAACAGCTTTGACAAGAGGTGCAAAGGCTGTGTAAATGTTTGCATATCTGCAGGCCTGCAAAAAGCAAGAAGGCAGTGGTAAGCATGTGAGAGCACAGTTTGATTCTTCAGCAGACAGCATGGTACTAGGGAGGCCAGAGCCCAGGTTTCAACCCAAGAGACCACTTTACTGTGTTCCCCAGAACTAGACTGTGCACCAGAAATCGACCAGCTGCCTTTTGAGTGTGTGCTGCTGGTCACCAGGGGCACTGTGCGCAGATGGTGGAACAAGTGAGCAGAGCAAATCTATCATCATTGCTGGTGAGACAACTCAACTTGCAGCGCAATTGGTGGGTAAGCAGCAGAACGTTGGCCAGCAAGGGGCAGCGTGAGAACTCTCACAGAATGCACGGCTTGCTCATGAAACATACCGTGAACAAAGCGGCACTGGTGTTGCTCTGCTTCTGCACGACTGCTTTATCTAAGAAGCCACATTTACCCAACCCATGCACTGGAAGAAGGCATGCATAAATTTAAATTTTACCTTGCTTTCATACTAGATAACGGGAAAGATAAAAAAAAAATTTACTTTTAATTACATTTTCATTTAATAAAACAATAAACTTTAATCATAAATCTTTTAAAAATCATTTCACAGGGATCTACAAAGGAAAGAAATGCAGAAGCCCCAACATAACTAAAAATAGTCACATACCCTTGACTGCAGTGAAATTAGAACTGAAATACGACCACAGCTCACATTATTATCTTGGAAAATTTTTATTTTGAAATATGAATTTAAAGTACTTGTTCTTATCAATCTAAGAAATGGGGAAAATGTACAATGTCACTATTCTGTAGTATTCATGAATGGCTTATAAACATTGCCTCTCAAAGAGCTTGAGCTTAACAATGCATATAAAAATAATTTATGTTTGCCATGTCTTTTGCACTTTGTCATATTGAGAACCTGTCTGCAGGCAAAATAACAGGTAACTATGAATGTTTGGTTTCTTTATCAATCACAAATATACCTCTAAAGGTTGTTTTGAAATAATATGCCACACTGTAGAAATATACTGTAATTATGTAATGCTGTACCATGAAAGTAAAAACATTTTAGTGATAAAGATTCATTTAACACATACAGATTTTACAGATTTTAACGGATTTTACAGACTTTAACAGATACACCTTTATAGATAATTCCAAAAATCACTTTATGATAATTAAAATCTTCACTAGAATAAATGAAGCTAGATTTAAATAACCTTAGTTTGGCTGTATTTAATTCACTCAATAATATATAGTTAATGATCTTGTAAAGTAAATCTTGGATTTGAACAACCACTGGATTCCTAGTATTTAGTATGGAGCCTGTCACACAGTAGATACTCAAGAAACATTTGCTTAATGACTAGTCATCTGGTAAATGAATTTCTAGGTAATAGCTGTGGTACTATTCAAATCTGATTTGTAATGTTTTTCTGACTTGACACTTTAAATCTGTTTCTTTTCTAATAGAAACACATTACAATGAATGAAGATCAATTTATTTACACTATGAAGCTCATGAGATAATTAGACAGTTGCTTCATCTATGAGTTTAGATTTGGGGAGAAGAAATTTTAGCCTGCACACTAGCTGTCATAGAATGAGACTGAACTTTCACTGCTCATTTGGGAAATATGAAAATAACTGATCAACATACTTTTCAGATACTCTGGGGTTTTTCAAAACATAATCTGTCTTTTTGGAGCAGAAACACCTAGACAGAACTTTTACATCCTTTAAAAACTACCAAACTAATTAAGCGAAACAAGAAATTAAAAACATGGTAGTTTGTAATAAACTCTTATAGTTTAACCAAATCAATTAATCCCATTATAATTAGAGTTTAGTTAACATTTATTGAGCACTAAGTACCATCCATATAGACTATCTTCTGTTTTATAATGAGCAGTAAATTAACTAAGTGGCATGTGAGAATTTTCTGACATTTTTTTGTTACTTTATTTTTTGAACTAACTAAATTAGGAAGCAAATGTGTCTCCCTGTACTGCTAGCTAAAATGCATATGTGAAATTAAGAAAAAAATGTTGGCATGGGCATGAGAACAACCAATATAGTTCTTGTGTTAGGCATATGGGAAAGCTCCAATATGCCATTATGATGCTAATGCTAGGCAATAAGATAGGTTATAGTACCCTGGAACACTGACTAATTTTCAGAACACTAAGCAATGTCAGAGTGCCATTATCTCTAGTGGAATGTACAAGGAGAACAGCAATTACAGGATCCACATTCAACTCTGGCCTCTACCTTTAATTACTTTCATAATTCTTTTCAGCAGGTGCATATAAAGGAAACAGCAACTCCAATCCATCTCTTCAACACAGATGTCGAATTAGTCCTTTAGTTTCTAAATCCTGGTGTTGTTCTAACATGCAACATGATTTTTTTTTTTTTGATCAGGCCTTTCTGTAACCAGGGGTTATATGACATTCCTATTGTAATTAAACTTCAGAACTCTAGTGAACACAGCGGTCATTTAATTAAAACTTAATCCTTAGCTTTACATGTAAACTAAATTACCTCAAGTTTCTCAGCGTTGGCAGGCCACCAAAATATATTTTGTCATCTGCTTTCAAGTCAAGACCAAAGTTGTTTCCAGAAGATGAAGTTGCTATGTTCTCCTCCTGATTGGTATCTATATCTACAATTGATATATTGGCTATAAAGGAGATAGAAAGTTTAACATTTTATTTGAGTGATATCAACCACATCTATATCATCACTAATATTTCAAGACAAATTTGATTTAATTCTAGAATTCACATTGACTTTCTCAAGCATTTGTACTATATTTAGCAATTTAATAATTACAGAAACAAAAACATCAATAAAATACATGATTAAACTATCCCCCAAAGAGCATGAAAATAATAGATTGAACACCAATGAAGTCAAACCAATGAAGATAAAAGAGATGAATTTAAATGGACATCAAAGATCCATTTGATGTAGTTTTCTATAATCTAGATAAGTAGCTGGAAAATAAAGGAAGATTAAAACATGCTAAATAACAGATATCTAATTAGGAATCAGATAATTAATCAGAAACATGCTGGCTCTTTCTGTATGTTTCACTATCCACAGGAGCTACTGGGATTTAGACTCATCCGCAAAATGTTACTGTTGTAAAATATGGTTGTACATGGAAGTGGAAGGGGATGTTGTACAGGGAAGTGGTGGGATCCAGGTCCACTGTAAATTACATTTTAGACTGGGATGCTAAGCGTTGTGACAGAGGTACAGTCCTCATGCCTTATGGCTTTTCTCTTGGGTCTCTCAAAGTATTTTTAATGCGACAGAGATAAGAATTCAGAAATAGAAAGAAAAAAGGAAAGAAGAGGCACATCTCTGTTCAAACTGCATTGTTTAGAATGCAGGGGATCTCGTTGATCCCTCTCACTATCGCCCCCTTCTTAGGGGTCAAGCTAGGCTTTTTCTGAATTACATACTTTTCTATATTTCTTTAGACTCAGCCTTTACTTCATATGCATCTTTGATGCATATTGACATCAGTTTCTTGAGATGATAGATTTGGCCTCTAAATCTTTTCCTGATGTAGGATCTGAATTAGCAAGCATTTGAAAATGGGCATTTGAATCAATGGGTTATAAGGGAATTTCCAAGTGTTTATTCTTTAGGATGCTAGTTCTTAGATGTTTCTGGCTTAAATAAATATGATAAATACTGGGTTATACAAAGGTAAACATATATCTTCTTAATTTTGTGGCTTCCCAGATCTTTCAGCATCCTAATATGCAATGCAATGCTCCAAGAGAAGGACACAGAACAAAAAATATCTCCCAAATTTATTTGACCATGAAATATTATTATTTTCATTCAACCCATCATCTTTCAGAATCAGCGTTCTTTGGAAAACACAGAGAAACATCAAATTCCAAAATTCCCTTGAAGTTTATAGCCCTATTATTTCAAAAAATATATCTTCAATAAAGTCAAATACAATGCCTTATTTAAAAAGGACCAAAATCAAATACACAAATGAATAAACACCTCAAACCAGACTTTTGTGAAAACAAACAAGAAAAATACCTAAAAGAATAATTGTCCTATTAAATATAGTTAGCAAGTTAAGATTTTAAAATGGGATTACTTTCACACACATATTTTATTATTTTTATATACATAATTAGTTTCATATACATATATCTCCTTGACTGGTCTGGTGGCTAAAAGAAAATAGATTTATACAACTGTTTTCAAGACTTTTTCATACATATTTCTTTTTATCTAGATCAGCAAAGACATTTTCATATGGGGCTGTTGACTGGAAGATGAAAATAGTCTCTTTCTGCAGACCTGGTCCGTATTTTAATGGTGTCTGAAAATGAGATTCTGTCTCTCTATCACAGGCGAGCCAGTGACTGAAGGTAGTTTTCCTCCTTATCCATGAATGAATATATGCATTTTTAGAAATCATTCTAAGAAAAAATGATTAAAGAGCAGAAACACAATTGGATTGAAATTCACTGGCCCAAGAGGTAACTTTGGCAGAGAGACAGGATGGCATATTTCTACTGACTTAAAGGAATGGCTTTACTGTGTCCTTCATGAGTGATAGCGATGAAATGGGCTCTACCAGGAAATGCTAATGCTTGCTTTTATTTCTTGCCCTATTTCTTTTCTTTACAGAATAGAAAAGTAGGCTATTAACACAAAATTTTATAGTTGATGAGTTCAGACGTGATTTATAAATAGAGAGGGAAATAAAGATTTTATTAAATAATAGACACAGAGTAGGGGCTTAAAAATAATTTATAAACAATCCTGAGTTGATATAAGCTAATGGTTTTTTTACTTTGGTTATTCTTTTTTCCTCTTTCTTGATCCACTGGAAATCTAACTGAGTGTTCTCAACTTTGATTCCATATCAATGCATTCGGGGGAAAGGGCACACTTCTATCAGTCACTGTGGTTGTGTAAATAACTCAAGGAAGATGGGGAACACCATCCTGAAGGACTGTACTTGAATTTCAAGGGACAGTGCTTTTACCAACTAGCTGAGAATAATTCATGTAAAACAAGTAACCTGGTCAGTGAAAAGGAGCAATGATCCACATTGCTGGAGCCTTATTTCAATTCCTCTCCCACTATTCTGTGACTCTGGTCTTGCTAAAAGTCCATAGGGACCTCCCTATATCCAAACTCAGTGGAGGCCTTTGAATATTTATCTTCATCCATGTTTATGCAGTATTTAATGCTGTTATCATTTCCTTCCTTATAGGAAATTTCTTCTGGCTTCCAAAACGTCAAGCTCTTTGGCTTATTTGAGTTTTCATCCTCAATCTCCTACCCTGAGATCTGTTTTTGAACACTTTTAAAATGTTGATGTTTTCTAATGTCCCTTCCTTTGCCCACATCTCAGGCTTTAGCCATCTGGGCAAACTCAAGTTTATATCTATTTTCTATGTAATTTTATACAAATGTACTCTTTTTTGTCTGCCTATTTGGATATTCATCCAGTTTGTACATATATTAATATTTTCTTATTTTTTACTGCTGAGTAGTATTCCATTGCATGGGTATACCACAATTTATGTGTATCTACTTACCTGCTGATGGATATTTGAGTTGTTTTTAGTTTTTGAGTAACACAGATAAAAGTAATGTGAGCATTCTAGTACAAGTCTTTGTATAAAAATATGCTTTCATGTGTCTTGGGTGAATAGGAGTGAAATGACTGGTTTGTATGGAAGGTATATATTTAGTCTTTTAAGAAATGGCCAATCTTTTCCAGCGTTATGCCACTTTATGTCCTCAGCAGCAGGATATGAGCTCCAGTGGCTCCACCTTCTGGCAGCACTGGATGTGGTGAGTCTTTTTAATTTTAGACATTCTAATCACTGTGCAGTGGTATCACATGTTGGATTTATTTTGCATTTCTTTGATGTCAACTCCCACTGCAACTCTTACTTCAAGCATCATTTACCTCCTGCCTAGACTATTATTGAAGCTAATTGTTCACTTTGTCTTCAGTTTGGTCTTCTGAAAATACATCTTCCACACTGACACTAATATACTTAAATTGAAATTACCCTGTCACATCTCTACTTAAAATCAAGTTTATTAAGATGAACTGCAAACTCTTCAACATAGTTTAAACAGCTTCCTGTGATCTGGCCCTCTTGCCAACATGCTCAGCACTGTCTATTATCACTCCTTTGAAATGTAAACTCCAGTAATTCAAACTATTTACAACATCAGCCCAAATAATCCATATTTTTATACATTTTATCTTTTCATATGATGCTTTTTGGCCTGGATCGTTCTGCAACTGCTTCCACCCCTCCTACCTATCCCCCCAACCCCAACCAAAAAAAGGCCTTAGGGCTCAGTTAGTGCCTTAGTTCTCTCCCTCCATAGTGTCTCCCTTGGTGTTTACTGTATCCTACAGAATTTGCTTACTTGTGCAGCAGGTAAGTTATTCAAGGGTAGGAACTGTATGCATCTTCACTGATCCAGCACAGCATCTGATGCATAGTTGGTATTTAATAAATGTGTCCTAGAAGAGCTAATCTTATCAAAGCAGGTAGTAAGGTTATTTTGCCAAGCCTTTCTTCTCTTCCTTTTAAATTTAGATTTCACTGCTTTAAGTGTGATCTCTGGATATTGCTACTGCAGGTCAAGGACCAGATGCTTGTAATCTATTGAGATTGAATTTTTCAACTTTATATAAGAAGTCTCCATTTTTCTTTTGTGAATTATTTGTTTGTAACACTTGCTTTTTCCACTGTGGCTTCCCAAATGGTTTTCTTTTTATAAGGAAAAATTAAGTATCAGAGAAAATATATGGATATATGCGAATACAAGTGAAAAAACAGCTATAGTTTTATTACATGTATTTTTGAGAAGTTTCTTCTCTGGTGATGCATCTCTCTCTCACACCAGACATGACAGGGAATGGTAAACAACAATGGGCAGGAGAAGGCAGAAGTTCCCCACCTAATTTGAGAATCAAAATTCTGAACAACCGAACCTCATAAAGCTGAATTTCTTTTTAATGGTGACACCACAGAGATATATTAGAGAAGAAAGGAGAATGATTCATGCCATTAATACCCAAAAGAAAAGTGAGAATGACTGCTTGGTGCATTGGACAGGAATATTCAGAAAGGCAAAAAGCAATGTGAGTCTAGAGTCAATTTGAAGGCCAAAGAGAAGACTTACAAATCAGAGGCTATCAGCCAACTGTGTCAAAGGGATTGAACTAGAAACCAGAAATGGGACAAAAGATCTTTCTGATTTCTGGACTACAGAGTAGTAGCAGTAATGGTAGCAGTTAGTAGCTCTAGTAAAATCTGGAAAAATTAGACTTATTGGGGGAAGAACTTTCTGAATTGATGAAGTGTTGGAGTTACAATAAACCTGAAACATATTTTTAACTACTTTCAAACTTACATGATTCTGTAACTTGACCGTTGACTAACGATTCAGAGCACAGATCTTTTGGTTATTTGTTTTTAATGGACAGAATAAAAGCTGAGATAGCAGACTGATTATGGAAATTAGCATTTCCAAGGTGACCATTTATAAAAGTTGTTCTCCTAAGTTGTTGAAACATTTTATCCCTGTTGGTTACACTATACATTTACCAAGCATCTTATTATCTTTAGAGTTTATAGCATTAGCCAATTCAGCCTAGAGTTCTCAATGTCTTTATTTTTATTTTTATTATTTTAAAATTTTAGATTTGGAGGTGCATATGCAGGTTTGTTACATGGATATATTGCATAAGAGTGAAGTATGGGCTTTTAGTGAACACATCACCACACAGTGAACACTACCCAAAAGGCAATTTTTAAACCTTCACCCCTCCTCCTCCCTCCCCACTTTTGGAGTCTGCAGTGTCTATTGTTTCCATCTTCATGTCTATGTGTATCCATTGTTCAGCTTCTTGACTTGTAAGTGAGAACATGTGGTATTTGATTTTCTCTTTCTGGGTTATTTCACTTAGAATAATTACTTCCAACTCCACTCATGTTGCTGCAAAAAACATGATTTCCTTCTTTTTTATAGCTTCAGAGTATGGCATGGTGTATATATACCACATTTTCTTTTCTCAGTTATCTGTTGATGGATATTTAGGTTGTCATTTTTTCTTTTATAATGCATATCCATCTTTTCCTTCTTTCTCCAAATCTGTTATTCTATTACTACAGAAGAGAACTTAGTGGGGAGACGCTAGACTCATCAGACTCAGTAGCATCCTAAATTGTTACAAATCTCAAAACTGCTGCTAAAGAAACTTTACCAAAGCACAAATCTTATGATACCACATCCTTTCTTAAAACTCTTAGAGTTCTCTGTATCCCTATAGCTTTCAGGATAAAGTTGAAAGTCACTCGCTTAGCTCATATGCCCCCTTATATACTGGTTCTGTTATCTCTTGGCCCCTACTGATAATTTTCTGCCAACATTCATCCATGTAGGCTATGGATTCACTTGTAGTTACTAAAGCATCTTCCAAAGTGTGTTCAGCAGAATGCTAGTATTACAGGAATGGAAGGATTTCTCTGATTAAAGAAATCTGGGAAATTCTGGGTTAAACAGTTAAACATTCTTCTTACTGAACAACTATACAGAGCTCCTAATATGCAAATGTGCATTGTGCTTCTCTTACACAGGAAAAATGTATGCAGCAGCACCCTAGTATAAAAAGTTGCAAAGCCAGTTTGTATTCCACATGAGGAGTGTCTCTAGAGTTTCATGTTGGAAATGCAGTTGAAAAAGGATGTTATGCTCTCTGATGACTCCAGGCTTTCACACAATGTTCACTACTCCAAAATGTCCATACATGCTTTTCATCCAGCTAACTCCTCATCCAACTTATACTCAGGGGCACTCCAGTGGAAACTGACCTCTCTGTTTGACTTAAATGTCCCTCTTCTGAGATTGCTAGCCAGGTACACACATCCAGCAATTAGCTCTCTATCCTCTAACCATTGATACTTGTCTGTCTCGCATTTTGATACAAGTTCCTTGAAGGCAAGAACTTAGAACTTCATTTAGTTCTTACATGGTACTTAGAAGTGCTTAGCAGATATTTGTTAAATGCAGAAATGAAAGACAGTACAAAGTTAAATTTAAATTTTAATGATATGTCACATTGGCATTGGCAACATTAATTAGGCCTATTTATATTAGCAGAAGTAATAAAGTTTCATTTGCAGATATTGGTAATGCCATAGTACACAGAATTAGTGGAATTATATACTTAAATAGCAACAGCACTACACTCGGAACGAATAGGCTTGGATTTCTGACTTGAAAATCTTTTATAAATACGTCTGTGACCACATAAAAGTTTGAGTGTATATTTCACTTTCTCTAACATTGCAACAAAATACCTGCTAAGTGATCAGATAAAACAATGTTTGTGAAAGTATTTTAAAATGTCCCAGAACCATAAACATGCCTTGTTACTACTGACCAATTATTTACTTGCATGCATACAAATGTTTGGCAATTTAAATGAGCAAAAAACTGATAACTATGTCCTACCACCCCTACAGGTTTTACTGTGGGCGGCTTTAAAGGAAACATCTTGGCAAAATAGGAAGAAAAGCACCCAACATTTTTCAAACATATTACAGGATATAATTTTGCAAGTTGTAAGACAGTTTTATGCTTTCAAATTAAGCTCTCAGTTTCAAAAGAAAATGACAGAGAACCATTTGGCTCTTCAATCAGTCATGTCTAACCCAAATCACCTATAATCTAGGCCAAAAAAAATGACTGTATCAATTTTTCACTGAACTTGTGAGTAGCTAAAATTATAGACAGAATCTTCCACTTGATCAGGTTCATGTGCACTTTGGATTGCATGATTAAGGCCCATATTGCATTATTACTGTAAAAACTTACCTTGTTTTTGAATTCTTGACAGGGTGAATGATTTCCATTTCCCATCATTATGGTTTTGATTGCTGACAACAGAAGCCATTCCCGAACCCAGATCATAACTGACTTTTATGTGCCCATCAGTGAGCTCCACACTCATGAAATCTCTCTGTTAATAGGGTAAACATACACCAGTGATTAGATACACAGAGAAATATATGAGTGTTCACTTTTTTTGCGGGGTTTATATTAGGATCTTGTGGCTAAATTCTGAATATGTCGCCCTGTTACAGAATCCATTTTGAAAATAGAATTGGTGTTACTATTTTCTGAATTTTTGTGGCTGTGATATTATGATCCAAATGGTCACAAACAAATTTATAAGACATACTCTTTTATTACAGTAGTAAAATGTGAGTTCCTTTGAAAACATATTAAGTGAACCAAAAGGTATGTTCCCTGAAAGAATTCACTAAGAAATACTGACCAGAAAAAAATGAGGCCAAAGAATATTTAGAATCACCTTTTCAACTTATGCCTCTGAAAGAAGATAAAGGAAGCATTTTGATGCTGCACGGCTCCATGCTGGGAAAAATTATTACTGTATGCATTGCTTAAAGGATTATGTGGAGAGTTATACTGAAAATAAATAGTAATTAAATTGAATCTGCGATTAAAGTTATTAATGAAAATATATAAGCACTATCTGTATCACCTATTCTTGGTTGTCAGATGGCCACCCCAGACTTTTAAAAAAATAATGGATAATTTTACCGATAATGGATAAAAGAAGCAAACACATTTTCAATCACAGAAGATCTGCTATGCATATGATCTTTACCAGGTCTCGTGTGGCAAGATACATCAGGAGAGCACTTGACGAAAATGTCCTGAACTTGAACATGACAGTGGAGATGTTGGGGTACCAGCGAATGGGACGGCTGACCAATGCATAGCCTTCTCCATCGAATTGAATAGTCCCCTCACTATCTTCCACCTGAGGACTGAGAAGAGAGGCATTTCACATGAATCAGGTCATGTCTATTTGGTCTGTCATTATTCAATGCATCATTGAATAGTGATGAGATTGCAGGCTGTTGTAGGGCAGAAAGTATCCTAAATACATCTTCATTCCTTCCACATATCTTCACCTCTACTGCCACTGTGCTAGGCTAAGTAAAAACCATCTTTCACCTTTCATTAGGAGTGCAATAACTAGGTCATTATTGTTTTTAGTGCTTTACGTTTTGCAGAAGTACTTGGTAGTAGATAGTTATATTGATGCTTAAGGGTGTCTTAGAGGTATCTGGGCAAAGTGGTGGGGTTTCTGGATGGGCTGAGAAGACATTATTAAATTTCTTATATATAGGATCCTACTCTGAATACTTGCCTTCTAACAAGTTTTTCTGGAACAAATTAGATTCAGACAATGAAGGAGGCCTGTATTTTTTTTGTATGGTTTTTTATCTGTCTCCTTCACTAGAATGTAAATTTCATGAGACTATTTAAGAGACTATGGGCCAGGTCCTATGTCAGGCACAAACTCAGCATCTAGCACATATAGTACAGTACTTGGACCCTAGAATCCAGTTGACGTTTGTGGGATGAAAAAGATTTTAGTATAGCAAATTGCCTCACAGAGAATATATGTTTAATCAATATTGGATGAATAATAAGATAAGTCTTGTGAATACAACATTTAAAATACTTTTTCCAAACACGAGGCTATTTTTATGTATCTCTCTATCTACCTGTCTGTCTGATGCTGTAGCAATTGTGGAGATATCTGGGGGAAAGAGTTATGGGTTGGGAGTGGCTAAACACAGAGCTGTAGATCAGTCAACATCACTTAACTCATTAGCTGTCACCTGAAGAAACAAAGTAGGTCTGGCTTTGAATTGGAGATTATGGGATGAGAAAAAATATGAGTCCTTCCAGGTATATTCTATAATGTTTTGACATAGAATAGAATAGAGTTATCCTATTCATTCTGAATATACTTACCAAAAGACCTCCACTCTTTTATAATTATTAAATGCTAAGCTTCTTAACTTGCCTTTTGTTTCTCTTTTGAACCTTGATGTCTGGTAAAGTTAGTACAAATTAATTATGCTATTTTGGAGCAACTATGTTCTTCTACATGTAACTCTAGTCAATGAGACCCAGGTGAATGTTGGGTCTTAATCTATTTAAAATATCATCATTTCAATGTTTAGCTAACTACATTTTACTTATAGCAAGTTTTTTCCCTTGCTTTAATCTTAATGTGAATTTAGAAGTGTGAGAAAAGTAAGATACACTTTTAAAAATATCTTTGTCAGATTACTCTTTCTAAAGCATAACAACAATTTTATCTCTTCTACTGACTATTGAATAAATGCAGATTTCTAAAACTGACATTCTAAGGTCTTTACAACATTTTCTCAGTCTACCTCTTTTAGCCTCATCTTTTAGTAGGAATGATTGCTCTTTACGTTCAAATGTGATAAGTGTTTTCCTGAAAACAACAAATAAACAAACACCAGGAGTTCTATAAAAATTATTCTTACAAGTAACAGGGCTTCTGAGAAAATAGGATTGGGCCAACCACTAAAATCTTATACAACTGGCGTGGCGTGGTGGCTCATGCCTGTAATCCCAGCACTTTGCAGGGTCGAGGTGGGTGGATCACAAGGTCAGAAATTTGAGAGCAGCCTGGCTAATATGGTGAAACCCTGTCTCCGTTAAAAATACAAAAAAACTAGCTTTTCCTCCCCTCCTGGTGATGTCTCTTCATGGCTGGGACTAGACTGCATTCATTCTAGTATCAGGAGGTTGTAAGTATCAATCTCTGCAACCTACAAAACACCCTATGAATATACAGGAGTACTATTATAATCATAAATTAGCATAATACTTTATATGTGGAAAGCACAAAATCTTTGCAGAATTGATAATTAGTGATGTTAAAGTCTCACATGACATGCACTGCTAAATGGATATTTAAATGCCTTAGATGTTTTGTTGATAATAAGCTTTTGAAAATCCTACTTAGAAATTTACCAAAGAAATGCTTAGGGAAAAGTTGGTGTTTGTTTGTGAGTAGTAGAATATTAATGTGGGAGTCAATGTCTTTCATGTATTGAAAGAATTTTACAGACAATCTTCCATGTTAGATGCTGTTGAAGATTATTGACAAAACTATTTTAAACAGTGAGGAGTGGGTCAGGCTTGCAAACTATCCTCAATTTCACGTTGACAAGTCCATGATGTCAAAAAGAAACAAAGAGTTAGAAGTGAAAACTTCTAGAGAGAGAACATTTTGGGGCTACTTTCTTCTATAAAACTCTAAAAATGTAGAGAAGGAAATGTGAAGTGTACCCTTTAGTAGGGAATTTGGGTCCTAGAAGAAACGTATACATGTCCTTTAAATTGAAAATAACACAAACTCCTTAGCACTTAATGTTTTTTGAGTTGCTGTTATGACATGTTAAATTTGCAGTTATTTAAAGTATGTTTTGTAGTTTTAACGTAATATAATAAAATTGCTTTAGGCTTGGGTGATGGGAGGGCTCTAAGATTTTCATGCTGATAAATCCTGTACTTCTAGCTAAATGTTTTATATTCTCTGTTCATTTTTATATAAAAATGTTTATTCTTTACATATGCTTAATATGATAGGATGTTAAATATTTTCAAATTCCTATTTGTTCTACTCTCTATTTTATAATTGAGGACATGTATTAGGCACTTTCCTCCTGGAATATCTAGGCCCCTTGTTCTCTCTTGAAGCAGAATCTTTAAATCCCATAGGTTTCTACTTGAAGCACTTGTGGGATCCTATGTGTCAACTGAAAAAATCCTGTAAGAGATAAAACCTGGGATAGGGTCCTAATTTTTTTATAAACATAAACGAAGTGAATTCATGCTCAGCAAGGCCTGAAACTTAATCAGTTTTGGGAAAATTCTCTTTAAGAAAAACGAAATTATAACAACAAGATACTCACAGACACAAAAAACCCCTTGGACACGAAGGGACATTGGAGTACAAAGAGACTAATCTCTTAACTGATCATAGTCAAAATCTCTTACCTTTGCAAATTTTATAAAAACATATGACTATGAAAATATACTGCTAGTGTATCTCCCAGGGCCTTGGAAAATGCCTGCACAAATGCAGGCAGGGACTGGAAGATTCATGAGTTTTGTGGTAATTCCACCGCTGAGCATAATCATTTCAAACCTGCTCCACATCATCCACATGATAACAGAATATTATGCAATAAAATCGAAGCTTTTATTATGCACAGAACAGACCCTGGGGAGAGATCTCATCTCAACTAACCTGACAGTACATCCTTTGCAGTCACCTTCTTTTTCTCGGAAATTCCACAAACCTATAGGTTTGTTGTCAAAGTATGTTTCTCCCATACAGCCAGTGAATGTAATCACACGTACAGCATCAGCCTTCTGCAGAAAGAAATACCATATTTGTTAGAATTTGGAGTTTCACAAGTAATCTTGGTTTATCCATGGGAGTTACTATCAGTAGAAGCTGAAGTGATCATTATCCATTCTTCCTGATATGCTGCCATTTGTACATATTCGTCTTTCCATCATATTATATATATATCCTTATCACTACTCCAGGATGAGTCAACAACAGAAGAAAAGCTCAGTTATTTTATCAATGAATGTTGATTACTTTTCACTCTGGTGGTTTTCATCATTGGTAAATAAACACTTCCCAGCTTCTTACTTTAGGTGAGCTGCTAACCTTCTCCACAATTCTATTCTTTTGTCTGTAACACGAAATTGTTGTGAGAATACAATTAGATTATTTATGGCACCAATTTCAGTGCCTGACATACAGAAGGAGTTTAATAAGCACTAGTGCTCCTACATCATTTTTTTGGGGGCAAATTTGGGCCATGCATACACAATGATTTTTCCCCTGAGATCAGAAGAAAGGTACATGCTGATGACATAGAAGAGATTTTTTAAAAGCACTTGTATAAATCACTCTATCATAGTACTGCTCTAAATTTTTAAATTTCTGTTCATAGCCAAGAAGATTTTAAATTCTAGAGAATGAAGAAAAAGAAAGCAACTTTGTATGAAAAGAGACCATGTTGACATCATTTGCTGGTATACACAGCACAGGGCCTGGAGTCAAAGAATCAATAAAAAATCTGTTCAAATTCAATCCTGGTGTCATTTTCACAGGAAAGGTCTTAGGCTTGATACATACCAAAATCATGAAGACAGGGAATGACTTGCTTCCTCCTAGAGAAGTTGGTTGTACATTTAAACAACTTTTTTGGTATTGACGTAAACGTTTTGGTAAATGACAGATCACATATATAATGGTGCTTCCATAAAATTATAATACTGTATTTTTACTGTACCTTGTTTATGTTTAGATACACACATACTAACCATTGAATTACAATTACCTACAGTATTTAGTGGAGTAACATGCTGTTGCCTTGGAGCAGTAGGCTATACCATATAGCCTAGGTCTATAGTAGGCTATACTATCTAGATTTGTGCAAGTACTGTATGCTCTATGATGTTTGAACGTTGAGGAAATTGCCGAATTCCATCTTTCTCAAAACATATTCCTGTTATTGAGTGACACAGTGATGTTATATTTTGGTGCCTATAACTTTAAAAACTGTGCCAAAGTGAACCCATATTTACTCGAATTATCTGGGAAAAACAGTGCATTGACTCGTTTGGTTTTTAGAACACACATAAGAAGACACTTGCTGAATAGTTAACATTTTGTAGCTATAGTTGTAGGTTATATCCATCAACATGTACATCTTTCCACTGCTGTGACCACGTGTTGCATAGCCACATAGATTGTCGATCACAGCCCCTGACTTGCATATTGGAGTGGTCCTTGCCATGCTCTGTCATCAGTCTGAACCTCTTAATTTTCTAGAGATTGATTTTCCTACTTATGAATTCTACTTGCTTTTTGCTTCTTCTTGAATCCTGAAAAGCTATATTTAAGAGATTTTCCTGCTTATTTGAACGCTCATCAGCAAGTTCGTTTAGCTGTTTTCAGATTTTGGTTCATATTCTGATGGGGCAGGAGCCTTGTAATTCTTGGCCAAAATGCTTTCTTCAGGTTTTCTATAGATTACATTTGTTCATGTTTTCTTTCTTTTTCTGAGACTGACAGAATGCTGCTTTTGCGCCAATGACATTTGCATAATAATTATTAAGGTACAATTTAAGATGTGATTACCACATCTTAGTTATTTGCCGTACGTTTTATACACACCATCTCACTATTCATTGTGGCAGTGAAGCAAAATGTTGAGAATGAAGACCATTGTGCCTATTAACCTGTGTTTAAAGCCCAGCTCTGCTAATTACTGTGTGACCACGGTCAAGACATTTAACATATCTCTTCTTCAGATTCCTTAACTATAGAACGAGGAGAATATTAGTATCTACTTTGCTATGCTGTGAATGTTTGTGTCCCTCCCAAAATTAATATGTTAAAATCTTACCCACCAAAGTGATGATAGTATTAGGAGACAGGGCATTTGAGAAGTGAGTTTTAGATGGTGAAGGGTAGGGCCTTCATGAATGGAATTAGCGCCCTTATAAAATAGGTCCAAAGGAGCTTGTTCACTCCTTCTGCTATGTGAGAACACAGCAGAAGGCTCCTTCTATGAAAAACTGACTCTCACTAAACACCAAATCTGCCAGTACCTTGATCTCAGACTTCTTAGCTTCAATAACTGAGAAATAAATGTTTGTTTATTTATGAATTACTTGGTTCCATGGTATTTTTCTTATAGCAACCTTAACAAACTAAGACGTATCTTTTAGGGTTGTTGTCAAAATTAAACAAGAGTTCATGTAAATTATTTAGAACATTACTTGGCATATAGGAAGAGTTATAAGAATGTTAAAAAGTGTATTATTGCATCCTACAACATGCAAGCAAGGTAGGTATTTTTATCATTCTTTTCTAGTTGAGAAAACCAAAGTCCAAGGGGTTAAGTGACTTGCCTAAGGTCATATTTTAGCAAGTGGAAGAGGAGAGGACTCAAATCCTGGATTTGATTTCAAAATTCATGGCTTTTGTACTACTGTGTGCTATCCCTATAGTTATCTATCTGTGAAGGAGAGAAAGTCGATAATATGACTATATATTACTATGTACTATATACATTTATATGAAGCTCTAAGAAATGAGGATAACTTTAGCATGTGGTTTTGGAATCAATTCTCATACTTTAGAGTCACATCTCATACTTAAAGCAAATAAAATAACCTCATTCTGTATGAAGGTTGAGTCCTCATAAATTTGAGGTCATCCTTGCTTTTCACATTTTCTGACTAATCTCATCCCAGGGTGATTCTGACAAGCCCAGGATTATCCAGCATATTTGTTGTGCTCCTGCATCTCACCCACAGTGGTTTCCCAACACCTAATCCATTTAATCAACACAAGCTTCTTTAAAAGGCAGGCATTTTGCAATTTGAAATGAGCAAGGACTGCCATGAAGCAATTATGAATATTAAATGCATCACCCTATAAGAATAAGAGCAATCTGAAAACCAGTTAAATCTGGTTAAAAACCAGATCATGTTTTGAAAGCTTATAGCTCCTGTGATATTTCCCAAACTATTCATAAATCATTTAATTAGATGTGAGTATGAACTTTATAGCACTTCACATCTATAAATCATAAATTGATTCAGAAGATGAGGTATACTTAAAAAACACGTTGCTCTTGAGGCAACTAAAACAAGAATATACAAAAAACTGATGCCATAGATAAAGACAAAACGACAGCTGTTTACATAAATACACAGAGGCTTAAAAATGTTGTGTTTCCAGGTTGAATATTCAAAGACGAAAATTCTTACTCAAAATAAATTCATGTTTTCATAAATGCAAGTTAAGTAAAACATGGTCAAGTTTTACAGAGCTTTATCATGGCTTCTCCTGAAGCAATCATGTCAGGAGTTGTCAAAAGATGAAATAGAACGGGAGGAGGATGAACACATTACCTTTAATTTCCCAGTCAGGCCACCAACAAACAGCATTGCATTTGCATCCACATCTAGAATAGTGTACCCTGGAGGAGACGTCGAATGGTATGTGCTGGGCACAATGCTGGCTTTGGGTCCATCCAGGGCTCTCACAGAAATAGTTCCATTTCTCCCAGTTCTTCAAGGGTACATGTTGAAATGAAGGGGAGGAACATACAGAAAATGAAATATGTATCACATTTCTGGTAATTCCGGATTTAAAAGATATAAAATGCAGGGACTTGTTCTTAAGAATTTAGGAGAAAACTGGCTGTTTAGTTTCTAGCATTCCAAATTAATTAGATCTCAAATCAATACTCAGAGTCTGATTTTGGCTGAACACTTATATCAGTTTCAGCCAGAACCAATGTGCACCATATCCTGATTGCGTGTGTGTGCACTGACATGAAATGACACAGCAGCAGTTAACTGATGGAATTGCTGTTGGTTAAGTGGAAAGACTTTTTTTCTATGGCTTATATAATAATTTACTATTTACCATCACATATAATTTACATAAGTTTATATTGCTTTCTTCAGCATTTTGTCTAACTTAATTTAGCAATGGACCCCAAATGAGCCACCCTTCTATATCATAAGCTTTGTAATTTCTCCTGAAATTCTTTATAATATCTTGCATCGCTGTTTGTTGAAGTAGTCTTCCTGGAATGACATATGTTTTATTGTCTGGCACAGCATCTTAGTGCATATAGTACAATATCCACTTTTCAGATTTCAGTGTACAAATTGCATAGAAGTTCACTTTTAAATTCAATTAACAGAATTTTAAAGTTATTATCATTCTATTTCATTTTATTTTTAAAGCGATTGATTTCCATGAGCTGTTAAATATGAAAATCTGGTCTCTCTTTTGAGACGAGCAGTCATAACAAAACTTCCGTGTCATATTTCTCTCCCTGCTGTCTCATTTTGGCAATCTTTTTATCTTTGAGGATTCAGTGTTAAGTGAAATACATGATAACAAAAGAACGAATTTATCAAATAAGGCTCACCTTCTTTAACAGAATGTATATTTTCTGAAAGAAATACTGTACTTGATGAGTATAAATGTCCTTAAACCTGATTAAGTACTTAATTCCCTTAACACCACCAAACAGGAAAGCACTCTGCCACTCTCTCTCTCACATGCACACACACTTTTGCTGAAAAACTTGCTTAAAAATTGCTTCTCATTGTTTTTTTTTTTTTTTGCTTTTCTTTTTTTCTAAGAGTTATGAAGTCTTGCTATGCTGCCCAGGTTGCACTGCAGTGGTAATTCACAAGCATAATCATCATGCACCACAGTCTTGAATTCCTGGGCTGAAGCGATTCTCCTGTCTCAGTCTCCAAGTAGCTGAGACTATAGGCACATGACATTGCACATGCCTCCTTCTTTCAAGCTTTTTATTATGGAAAAATTTAAGTATATACAAACAGAATAAAACTCTATGTATTCATCACCCAGATTCAACAATTACCAGTTCTTTAAGTCTTCTCTATCTCTGATCAGCTTCATGTCTAGCCCTAGGCCCTTCACCATACCTCTCAACTGTTAGCTGCTTTGGGCTTAACAGGGAGTTGAGAATTGGGAGAACCAGAAGAGAAAATGAGAGGGAAGTGCTGAAGACAGGGATAGTTCTGTAAGTAATCTATATGCTGCTAGACGTTGATAATTGCGTTAAACCTCCAAAGATAGAATAACTGAATCAATTCTTGATTACTCCCCATTTTAAGTAGGGTGGACCTGATATGTTACATATGAATTTCAGCGTTTGATACTGCATGTACCTATGGTGGCTATGTAGACTGAAAGAGAAGTTGTGTACACCAAAGACAGGCAATAATGGCGGCTCTTATGCTCTGGCTTCTACTGCCTAAGAATGAGTGGCAGTACTTTTCTCAAGCGAGATAGGAGACAAAAACAGCTATACTCCCAAATTCCTACTGGACATAAGATGAAGGGGTCAGAAATGGAATGATTCCTCTGGCCAATACCAGGATTTGTCAGTTCCTAACAAGCAGAACAAAGATACCCACTCCCAGACATGTATACATATAATATGTAAAATTAATACACATGTGTCTACATACATACACAGCTGCCTTATTGAAATAGAAGTTTTCTTATAAACTGGGAAACGGTTTCAAAATTCTGTCATTTAATTATCTTAATTTTTATTAAGTTGGTTACCTTGATGCTATGATACGGTACCAATAGGAGTCATCAATAGTCAAATCTGGGTACTCTACACGTCCAACTCCAGATCCAACATCCCAGAGGAAACTGACTTTGCCTTTACGCATTTCTATAGCCAGAAAGTCAATCTAGCTCAGAGAAATACAAAAACAAGAGATATCAGCTATAAAGCACTTTTAAAGAGGAGACCAGCAGAGTGTTTTTCAATAAGTGCCATTTGCAGACATGTGAAATATTTAGAAGCTTCATGATAACATTTGTCAAACAGTATTATTTATTATTATATATTAATAGAATAATATTTTATTTTTGTATCCTTAAGGCAAAAAAAAAAAATCCATAATGCTCAGGCATGTTTGTTAATTTTACCAATTCTAGTTAGGTCTAATTTTGAGATAAAAGCCTTTCTCACTCTGGTACTTGTGGTAAAGATAAAAGCAAATATTTAAATTCAGACTTCATTATTATTTTCACCAAGGACATTGTCAATTTTCAGAGGGCAACTATGATTTTATTTCCCAAATTGACCCAGAATTCCTTACCCAAATGGCAAATATTGACTCATGCCATGACTGATTTATTAAGAAGTCTTACTCATTTTGGAAGATCCCCATGCATGCAAAGTCAAATAGTTCAAATGGAAGAAATCAGAACTTTATAGGTGGGCTTTTATAGACATAATCTGTGTTATTTCAATTTGGGTCATAAATTCAACACGAGTTTGAAGAGTTTTCTCTGGTAAAAAAAATTAGTACACACTTTGCTATTTTCATTTCATTAACAGAAGAGTTTGTTATAATTAAGTTTGAACAGTAAATAAAAGAAATAAATAAAAAGTAAATAAAATAGTTTTCTTCTTATTAGCCTTTTTCTTAAATCACTGAATCTAAAAATGTAATTTAAAAGAAATGCTGTTATACTGACAAATGAAAGTAAATGTGAATACATACTGTAGTTTTCTTCCTTTCATTTGACTTACAACTTAATTTGACACTTCAGAATTTTGTGAGGTAAGATGCTGAGGTTTTCAAATCTGAAAGCCTACATTAGACAATTTGGGGACCATGTTATTGGATTCTATACATTTTCCCAAATATCAGGATTAATCTCCAGCTATACACATACAGCAGCCTAATGAAAAGTTCAATATTAGACTTACAAATTTGGCACTTCCAAGATAAAAAAGGAGGTTGTCAGCAACAGCTGTCTTTACGTTGACAACAATATTATTATAACTTCCTTTCTTGATTTCTGGCCTGTACGTTCGAATGCAGTCACCTCCCGAAGACACAGATACTTTGATCTTTAAGAAAAACAAGGTATGAAGAACTAAGAGTAAATCTCTCAGAAAGTTTGAAGTAGCTTCCAAACAACCAGAAAGCCATCATTGCTTTTTCTTTGAAGTTATTTTCCTATCATCACATAGCATCATTAAACACCCATATGCAGACACCATTATACTCATTAATGAGGGCACAGAAGAGGAGTTTTCCAGTAGAATTTCGACAATGAGTTGTACACAGTTCCATGTCATGTAAGTATACTATTTTTTGAAGCATGCAACTAACAAATTTCTACTGTCATACCTTTGTCCGTTATGAATATGGGAAGGTTTTAAAAAGGTGATTTTACATGGAGCTAATGAGAATGATCTTTATTAAGGTTGTTTAATGAAATTTTACAATTGAAATTTCAGCGGTTTTGGTATCACTTAAACTAAGAAACTATTTTTCTTTCAGTTTTCAAGAGGAAATTACCTACTCTCCCGTGCTCTTACAGTTGAAAGAGGACAAATAGATTTTGTTCTAGATGTTCTAACAATAAGAAGAATATTAATCTTTCCACTCAGAATGTACATTTCAGGATAAATTATACCTTTTTATGAAGTTGCCAGAAAATGAAATGGAAATAATTTCCAATGGCTATCACTACTAATGTATTTAACAGCTCCCTTTTCTTTTGAGTAACACCTTAAAAATTACTATAAGTTGCTAAAAAAGGGATTCCTATATGAATAGAGTAACACTGTTCATACCAATTTTTACTTACATTTAGAAAGCCTTCCTTCAGTAAATAACACTGGTTGATTATTTGATTTAATTTCCATTGGGTCAGATGGAAAATCACCATCCAAGGATTACTTTAAGGATAGCAAAATAGTGGGTTGGACTCAGAGGGAATCTGTAACTTTGCTCATTGATAGCATTCCGGAAGGAGGCAGAGAGAGGGGAAGATGTAAAACCTCTCTTTGCCATTTGTTCAAATGCCCTCTTGGCCTTCACTAGCAGTGAATTTCCATTTTTTCATTTCTTCTAGCGTTTTGTGCTACTCATGTAATTTGCACATTTGGAAGAAAACCAACCAGCGTTATTATTACCCCCATGGAAGGGCTGTGCCGGCTCCCAATAAGATAGCCTAGAAACCAAAACAGCCTCCATACGATCATGACACCGGGAGGTATCTCCAAGAGTCTCATTTGTGTTTGAGTATGGGCAGAACTGTGGTCCTTCTCCAAGGGTCGTGAAAGTATACTGCAATTGGTTGGATTCAAAAGAAAAAGCTAAGGAGGGATTTTTGCAATAGGTAAATTCATATAGATTTGAGAACTTCTGGGGATACAGAAGGACTGTTACATCTCCTACAGACCTGCATAAGTCATTTATTTGTTTACTGTTGTTGCCTCGTTTGATCTACTAATCAAATTGTATCTCCACAAAGAGGAAACTGTGTTCTGGAGAGAAACAAGGGCTGTTTCCTCCACCACCCGGAGGAGGGTGACTCTTGGAGACTGGAGTGTGGTGGCTTGGGGCTGGACATTTCAGGAAGCCTACTGCTTAAACCACTTTCTTGTTCTTCCCTTCCCCAAAAAGTGGGGCCAGCTGGCCAACTGATGGGTGTAGGACTCAGGGCTGACTATGGTCCCCAGAGTGTTTGCTCTGTGTCCTAGGGAAATAGCCTTCTGGATAGGTTGGTTTTCAGTTGGGAAGTTAGTTTTTTGCTTCACAAATCATGGAGTTTCCTTTCTACCTACAGTGTTGAGAGTAGGCGAGTCAAAATGAATTGCAATACAATGGAGGTAGGAAATGTACAATTTTTACCTGGATGTTAATATGGTAAAGTAGATGAGCAATGGGAGTTGGCAAAGGGAGTTGCCATTCTATGCTAGAATGGCAGCCATACCAAAGGTTATCCAAGGAATTAAGAGATAAAAAGAATAAAGCAAAGCAAGAGAAAGACAATACAGTAGAGGGCAGGTGGGAAAAACATGCACTTCAGATATTTTTAACATTCAGGAAAGGGTGTTAGATATAGTAACGTTTTTAGCAATTTGCTGAAAGTGAACCAAAATCATTATCAGGGAAGACTTTGGCATTGAGAAAATTTAATATCTGAGGCAGGTTACAAGTGCCATTGACATCATAAGAGGATCAAAGAGAACAAAAAAATCAAGATCTGACTGGAATTCATGAGTGGAACTGAAGAGCATACTGCTTATCCCTGGCAGACAATCATATTCAAATTCTGAATAGGGCTGAATTCGCAGTAAAAAGTGACTGCATGTAGTTTACTTCATTTTTATTTTATAAACACTTTATAGCTTTGTCCTATGGATATATTATGGCTAGTTTAATTCCTAATAAATCAGTTTTGTTTAAAAAACACAATTGAATAATATCCCTCAGTTATTATGTAGAGTAGAAATGACTGAATGTAAATGAAATGCGTGATCATTTGGTCACAGAATGAATCTCAGTCCTTGCTTAGGTAAACCTGGTAAAAATAATAGGGGATGACATGATTGGTGTGTTGAAAAGGGGGTTGTCAAAGTACAGCAGACAGAGCTGGGCACGATGGCTCATGTCTGTAATCCCAGCACTTTTGGAGGCTGAGGCAGGTGGATCACGAGGTCAAGAGATAGAGACCATCCTGGCCAACATGGTGAAACCATGTGTCTACTAAATATATTTTTTAAAACTAGCTGGGTGCAGTGACATGTGTCTATAGTCCCAGCTACTCAGGAGGCTGAGGCAGGAGAATCACTTGAACCTGGGAGGCAGAGGTTGCAGTGAGCCAGGATCATGCCACTGCATTGCAGCTTGGCAACAGAGCGAGACTCTGTCTCAAACAAACAAACAAAAAAAGTGTAGCAGACAGAGCAGCAGCACTGAACTCTAGCTGACCTGGTAAAACTCCATCTGAGAACTCCAAGTATAAGAGGGCAGCCATTTAAAAACTGAGTATCTAATGTCACTAGAGGTTACAACCGATCTACTGTATACATAAGTGATAAATGCAATTCCTAGAACAAAATGGTGGTGTTATACTCAATATGCTAGCAATTAATCCCGTAAAGTAAGTGCTATGACTTCAATACGTCCACCAAAATTTATGTGTTTGAAATTTAATCCTCAGTGCTATAGCGTTGGGAGGTGGGGCCTTTTGGGAAGTGTTGCAGTCATGAGGGCTCTCTCCTCATGAATGAATTGATGCCACTATTAAAAAGCCTTACAGGGGTGAGATCTCTCTCTCTCTCTCGCTCTTCTGCCATCTGAAGACAAATTTTCCTCCTTTCCTGAGGATGCAGCATTCAAAGTGCCATCTTGGAAGCAGAAAAACTGGTCCCTAACCTGCCAGTGTCCTGCTCTTGGACTTCCCAGTCTCCAGAACTGTGAGAATAAATTTCTTTTCTTTACAAATTACCCAGTCTGTAACATTCTGTCACAGCAGCACAGAGTGGACTAGACAGTAACCTCCTGCTCAGTTCTCACACATTCATAAAGAAAATCCTCTTGAATTGTCTGCTTTCTGTTGTTTGGTTTTGGATATACTCTCAGAACCTGAAAAATTTACTTAGCCCAAACTACTGACAGCCAGTACATAACTGGTAATCTCTTCCTTTTGAATACTTTGTGTTTTGATTTTCAATTATAGGTATTTCTTTTAAACAAGTTAAAACAGGAAAATTAAAATACTATGTCTCTAGAAGAAATCTTTAGGACATATCTCTCTTGCAAGAGGAGAGAAATTTCTGAAATTCAAGCATCCTTTTAGGATGTTTGACTATCAATTATTGTTATTTCTAATGCAGATCCTTAGTAAGACATCTAAACAAAAATCACTAAGCATTAAGTATCTTTAAGGCATTTCAACAACACAACATTATTTACCAGTTAATCATCATGAACTCAGACATTATTGAGTATCCCATTATTATATCTATTGGATTTTCACTATAGTTTTCATCCGGTAAGTAGGTCATTTATTTAAAGGAGTATCAGCCACTCAATTTTAGAATCAACAAACCCAGAGAAAGCTACTTTAAAATAAACGTCTTTAATGTTTTGGTCTTGTCAAGTATGTGCTAAGGTCATATCCAGATATCCATATTTACAAATCAGAAAATGTAACGTTCATTTAGTATAAAACTAATTTGAAAAAAAATTGGCTGCTTGTATATTTCTAACATCTTACAAAAAAATAAGGCCTTGTGTTGTAATTCCATTTCCAAAAGTGATAGGGAATTTCTTTGAAATGCCTGGACAATGATTACTTTTGCTAGCATTACTGTTGTACCTTTCTTTCTTTTGAGACAGGGTTTCTATTTGTCATCCAGTCTGGAGTGCCACGGTGCGAATATGGCTCACTGCAGCCTCATCCTCTGGAGCAAGTGATCCTTCCACCTTAGCCCTCCAAGTAGTTGGGACTATAGGCATGTCCCACCATACTCAGCTAATTTTTCAGTTGTTTGTAGAGATGTGATTTTGCCAAATTGCCCAGGCTGGTCTCAAACTCCTAAGTTCATGCAATCTGCCCACCTCGGCCTCCCAAAGTGTTGGGATTACAGGTGTGAGCCACCATGCCCAGCCTATACCTTTCTTTTATTTTGTGCTTTAAGACAGGCTTTACACGCTTACATGTTTGAATTTCACCCTTTTGCGAGTAGGGGAAAAGCACTCACAACTGATGAATAGATGGGCGTAGTTTTAGAAATCTTTACAATGAAGAAATAATAATAATGTGTAGATTTCTCCACTTGATGATTAAGTCAAAAATGTGGCTAAATGTGAGATTCACAAAATAATATTTACTATTATTGCTTCTTCCCAGTCAACATTGTAAAATATAGGAGTGGTACATCACGTTCTTCTTTTCTCTTGCCACAGCTATAGCTGGGTCCTTCATTCTTCTTTCTTTCATCTCCCTCACAAACTGCTTCTGGGCTTATATTAAAAAAGGACAGCTCCGATTATACTTGTTCATGCTGAAAGCTTTCGGCTTATCCTTTCCAGTTAGGCTTATCCCAAGTACAAATGTTGCTAAATGAAACTGCTTAACATATTATTGAAGGCCTGACAAGACCTGTCCTCTATTGATCTTTCCAGTTAAATGTTTCCTTTACCAATTACTCTGGGCAAAGTGCACCTTTTTTTTTTCCTAAATGGACCTTAAACTTCCTTCTCCCTCTGCCTTGGCTCAAGCCATTCCCCCTTCTCAGAATACTCTTTCTGTTCCCTGACTCCACCCCCAACTCCCCAGCACTATCCCACCTCAATGCCTAGCTCCAATCCTTCCCTTCAGGAAATCTTCTGGCCCTACTAAAGGTGATGCTTCCTTCTAAAACATGTCACTTCTTGCAGCTCCTGTAATGTGGCACGGTGTTCTGCATTATGTGATAAGATATGTGTACATATCTTATTTTTCCTACTATTTTATAAGCTTTGTGAGTAAAATAACTCCTTTATTCATCTTTGTGTACCTTACAGAAAGTAACACTGAACATAGTAGAGGCTTTTTCCATGTGGCCAAATCTTAGATAAAACTTCAAACCTTGAAGTAACATCTGGTTTCTTTAATCTTGTGTTTTACATACATAATGATCACCTGTTGATGATACTGCCTGGCTTTCATATTCTAGCTGAATATATAACTTGTCAGATCCTTTCACTGACATATTACTGTGATCTTATGTAATACCATCTTCACTAATCTCTTTGTTGTTTTTTAAGTTTTTTTGTCAGTCAGTTGCAAATTCCTTTCAACGTTCACCTGGAACTTACTGCCTTGGCCTTCTTTAGAAGTGTTAGATGTACATAAGGAGAAAAAAGATTATGCTGTTACTGGAGCTTCATATTCTTAAATACTACTAAAATGTATCTACGAAAGGGCTTTTCTGATCATCCTAGCTCCAACATTGTTCAAAAGATGGAGTATTTCACACGAAAGACTGAGTTATCTAACAAGGTTTGAGTTCAAGCCTGACCATAAGAAAACTGTCTCTTTCTTTACTTCTTTCTTTTTTCCTTCCTTCCTTCCTCCTTTCTTTCTTTCCTTCCTTCTTTTTCTTTTCTTTCTTTCTTTCTTCTTCCTTTCAAGTTTCATGTTGGCCCTTAACAACTTTGTCCTGGTTCATTAGCATGCTATCTTCTAGAAAGTTCCATTCCTATCCTAGTAAACTTCTAATTGGGCAAATAAAGAGCAAAATTTTGAGACAAATCAGGTATTTCCTATCTACTCCAAAATAAAAAAGAAATGTAAAAATCATAACCAAATCCGTTTTTATTGTTGCTTATACCAGGCAAAAGAATATATATAAAATGTTTGTTTCTCTTTGCTCTCATTCCATGTATTGTTCCTTCATTCCTGCCTTAACCCCACTAGCTGGCCTTTTTTTTTTTTTTTTGGTTTGTTTTTAGCAAGAGGAAGGCACTCTCATCCATACCTTTTTAGTATACATTAATGTTTTCTTTCTTGCTATTTGTATTACTCTACTTAAATAGTAATAAAGTATACCAGAATTCCTAATACTAAAACATTCCTAATTCAAAAGACATTTCATGAGAACGATAATCACCACTTATTGTTCTCATGAAATGTCTTTTGAAACTTAGAAACAAAACAAAACTAACCTTTCCCCCATTCCAACCCCTCCTACCTCAAATAGCTTCAAGTTAAAGGAAAAGAACCTGAGATCATTCAACAGGGAATTCTGGGGAAAGACATTCCCTCTAGGAATAATTCAACAATTGCAATCAGTTACTGATACTGATGATAAAAAGAACTTACAGAATTGGCTTGTTTTCGGGCTTGGTTGATCAATTCCTTTATCTCAGAGATGTTTTTCTTCAGGTTATCCTCAAGCTCCTTGATGGGTTTGAGTTTATCTATTAGCCGGTCAGCTTCCTGTTGTAGATTTTTCACAGTGGCATCTGCATCTGCAACTGCATAGAACAGAATCAGTGTGCACGTATACGCATGCACACACGTGCACACACAGAATTAGAATAGCAGTATGCTTAACCAAACAATTTCATCTTATTAACATGACAAAGCATGGCCATAACTGCTAAAGCAAAATGTGATGGCAAATGCGAATATTTTAGTCGAGACTCAAGCAGGTCAGAGGAGTAGATGTTAGGACAGAGGGCCATCACTTTTGCTTTGTGATTAAGGTAAAAATTAGCATTGAAGATAGAGAATATGAACTTAATTCAATGCTTAATTTCTAACTTCAGCCAAAAAGTTAACCTTTATAGAATAGAACTTCAGTTGCAGAAGCAAGGAAATGAAAGCATCTTTAAAATGTCACCTAGTCTGTCCAAGCCAGAACTGTATTTAAATTAGGGTTTTTACACAAAATTGGTTTTCTTTCTTTTTCTCACTGTCTTTTTTTTTGCACCTCTTAAAGAGAGAAGCTATCAAAATGTCTTTTGAAGAACATTTTGATGTTGAAAAACCCTTAGACTTTTAGCCCTATATCCCTTAATTAAATCTTTCATGGTGCAGTTCAGTTTCATTTTGAAGAATAGTTGATTATCCTGTATTATATATTAGATTGACCCATATTAAACAGCTGTTTTTGTAGGTTAAAAAAAAGGTTACATATTGGCAATTTCAAAAGTTTCAACCCTAGAATAGTTGAAGGTCATCACTGATCCATAGACTTTTAGTATGTGCTTTTCAAGGGAGGGCATATGACACGTGGTAAACCTCTTATTCTACTGCTGAGATGCTGGTAGTCTCTTCCACACTATGTCATTTATTATCTGATAGTGTGTATTGTTCAGCTTTCTGTCATTGTGACTCCAATGAAAAAGTTAAACTGCTTAAGATTCAAGGCTATATGCCATGTTAGACTCTCAATGATCTACTCTGCAGCTGACAGACAACCACTGAGAACTAACCACAAGGAACGAATTAAATGTGCTCAAAGGGATGTAAATTATTATTTTTTTAAAATTAGGTTTTGAAGTAGCTATTCTGAACTCGTAATCATAACTCATGACTTATATTGTTAGTGGCATTTAAAAAGAACATAGGTCTATTATTAACTTTAATAGATTTGCTATATCAAGAACTGGGTGCAGTATTTTCTTCCTGAGATGCATGTTATCTGGATAGAAGTGTGTGTTACATCATCATACAGATAGCATAAACACAGTTATCTCTTTATTTTGTATACTTTTAATAAACCATTTCTTCATTTTCCCCTTCCTTTAATTCTCCATGGTTATTCTGACATTCTACAAATTATTCTAACACTGAGGCAAAATGATTTAGATTTAGATTAATGAGAAAGAGAAAAAGTAGTTAAACAAAGACTACACAGACTTAGGCAAATTACAGACCCTTTTATTCTCAAGTTCTCAGGAATTTTTGCCAAACGTTTCAAAATGGGACTTGGAAGTTGGTCTTCTCCCTGCTTTTTCCTGTATCCTCTGGAGCAGTTGAAGTTTTGCCAAGTAATCTCTTACGTCTTAAATTGCCTCCCTTATCTAGTCACGTCTTAGATTTATCAGGTCTATTATTTTCTGTCTTCAAATTCATTAGTTTTTCAGTCTTTTTCATTCTTTAAGTTAACTCTGCTTTTTCTAAGTCACCAAGTTGATTGTTTAAAATTATTATTTCAGTGATGGTTTAGTAATGTAATCACTCTAATTTTCCACTGAGGACACCCTTGGTCATAATTTTCAAATATTGATATGTTAAATTTTGTTATTGTTATTATTTTTGTAGGTATGTTTTTCAGTTTTATTTTGACTTTCAATTTAAAATTTGGGATGTTTAAGGGAGAATATTTTTATATCCCAATAGGTGCTCACTTGTTAAGACCTGATTTTATTATGTGTTTCTCCAAATATAATTCTACAGAAGTTGAAATTAATTACTAACAAGGAGAGGAATATGTGAGTTTTGGGGTGGGTGGGTGGGGAACAACAACGATATTGATCTAATCTATTTTAATCCTGTTGCAAATAAGTCATTTGTGTTTCAGGGGCTGAATTTATATTATCAGAAGCAATGTAATCTAGTTAATTCTATAGAGAAATTCAGCTTTCCACTTTTATCTGGCTATCATACATGTATTTCACTCATTTTTCCTTTTTGTAGAAATAAAGTCTTGCTATGTTTCCCAGGCTGATCTCAAACTCCTGGCCTCCAGTGATCCTCCCACCCTGGCCTCCCAAAGTTCAGGGGTTAGAGTATGAGCCACTTCGTCTGACCAAACTTTTCATAACACTATTAAAAACATTTTATATCACCTATATCCACATGTCACATTTTTATAAAGGAAGATGACTTTTACATATCTACCATTAATACTGTGACAGTGGAAAGAATAGCTATGCAATGTTTAAACAAAACCAAAACATAGTACATGCAAAGCCGAAACTTTTTGCAAAAGGCAATGAAGCACAAGCGTTACTAAAAGGTATATAAGTAAATATATACATACTGATTTCTGTAGGCAATTTCACATGGAAGCAAAACAAAGAAAATTGAAAATTCATGAGGAAGTATTTTCTGTAAATATTATAAAGTAGTAACTATAAAAAATGGTACTTTTCATAACAAGTACTAATTATAAATGCAACCCATTTTAACTCAAACAAATGTCATCAAATGAAAGTGCACAAAATATATCATTTAGTGGCTACTATTTGTATTTTTAAAACTATATCTATGTTCTAGTAAGATAGAAAACAGACCCAATTTAATTAATATTTATAGATAATTAACTGTTTCTCGTAATAGAGGATAAGATCAAAACGGAGATGTTATGAAAGGCCACTACCAGTTGAGAATCAGTCTAAAATAGAATGGAATTATTTTGGAAGGTAGAGTGCAGGAGGAGGGAGAGCGTCAAGAAAAATAACTAATGGGTACTCGGCTTAATACATGCGTGATGAAATAATCTGTACAACAAACCCCCATGACACAAGTATACCTATGTAACAAACCTGCATTTATACCCCTGAACTTAAAATAAAAGTTTTAAAAGATAGCTTAAATTATAAAATAAGCAGAAGAGATAGTAATATTTGTTTAAAATTTTGTTTCATTCATTTTTAGTGGGAATCTTGTGATTTGGCATCTATGAGAAGAAGTTATTCTTATGGAATCTTCGAACTACAAGGGAAGCCATTTCTGGGCTTACATTACAAAAATTTTAATGTTTTTATCTCCCCTTTCTCCCTGGCTCTGATGTTTACGTTATATGTGTTTGTACTCTTCCTTGCTCATGAAGGAGTCATGTTAATAGTGTCTATTATTTCATAGCATCCATAGGATTTGATTTGAGGAGAGGATGCTGAAATCAGGCTGCATTCCTCACTCAAACAGCATTTGAATTGTATGCCATATGATACCAATTGTATGCCATATAATACCAAGTGCTTTTGCTTTTATACTCCAAATATTTTGATATCCCCCAAAACTGTTTGCATATAAAGAGGGCTAGTCTCTTGAAAGTGAAAAGCACAAATTACGAAAGCATCTCCTTTGGTGAAACTGTGTACCACGGCTACCAAGATAACCCCCCCTTTTTTTTTGAGACAGCATCTTAATCTGTCACTCATGCTGGAGTGCAGTGGTGTGAACACAGCTCACTGCAGCCTCACTCTTCTGTGTTCAAGGAATCCTCCAGACTCAGACTCCAAGTAGCTGGGAATACAGGTGCAATGTCACTACCATGCCTGGCTATTTTAAAAATCTTTTTGTAAAGATGGGGTCTTGCTATGGTGCCCAGGCTGGTTTTGAATTCCTAGGCTCAATTGATCCTCCCGCCTCAGCCTCCTAAAGTGCAGAGATTACAGGTATGAGCCACTGTACCTGGCCCAATATAGCTTTGTATCATTTGACAGACAAGGAAAAATGCATTTAAAAATTTTATTTTTTGACTATATTTAACTAATAATAAAAACTATATTTTCTCTCAGGTTTTCTCAGTAAATCCTTAAGTCAATAGAATTTGATGCAATATATAAAAGATGTGAATAGTCTTTAGAAATCAGATAAACACATTATTTTCATTTCCTGGAAATGTTAAATAACTGGAATCTAAATTATAAAATATCAAGATTTTCAAATATTAATGCATTTCAAGTTGATATCATTTTCATACCCTGTTCTAACAAGTCTGCTAATGAATGTGCCCCTTAACCTCTGTGTTCCATGAAACTTCGCCAATTCTGAGGATATAATTACCCAAGTACAATTGTATTTTGAATTACACAAATGGGTTAAAAAGTCTTTGGTATCTCTATACCAAATATCATGCAGACCTAGAGAATTCCTAATCTCTTCTGAACTGGAAAAAAAATCAGATGAAAAATGCAATGGGGCAGAGCTGGAAGACTTGGATTCCAGCTTTGGAACTTCAGGACCCTGGACTCCTGATCCCAGTCTGTGAAACAAGGAAGGCAGACTACACCACGGAGAGGGTCATTTCCAACTCGAGCATTTACGAGTCTGGGATCCTTTTACAGTGAGAGGAAATAAATGGCATCATCACAGTGAAAAAGGAGATCTTACTGTTCTTGGAAGGATCTTTAACCACAGCATTCGTTTTGGCTACGCTGTCTGCTAGTTTATTGTAATTCTTCTTCAGGCCATCGAGGTTCTGGTGGAGCTCTTTAATCTGTGCCAGTACATCTTTAGCTGTGTCGTTGGCTTGCCTGGCTTTGTCCTTAACAGCTTGCAGTTTAGCAGCTGTGTCTGTTAGCAGATGAGCGTATGAAAAACAAAACAAAGGGTCTGGAGTTAGTGGCTTAATCCATGCTTGTCAGAGTGAGGCTGCGGCTGGCTGACCTCAGGGACGAATTTACAAAGGGAAAAGGCTGAACTTTGTCTCATAAAGGTGTAGCAAATGAAGCAAATATTTTAGCTAAATTAAATTTTCTCAGGGACGTTTGCTATGAATACCTGATTAGCTCTTAACGTAGCGAAGTGACTATTCTAAACGTTCATTGTATACGGTCATATTACGCTTTGCTGCTGAACTTATTAACGAGACAAACTTATCCATGGGAGCTTCATCAAAACTAGGTTAAGATTCAATCTGCATTTCCAAAGCAGGGCAGGGGTCAGGGTGGGGGTTGGAGGGAAACGAATATATTTTCATGTTAGGATGGAAACTATTTTCAGGTATGTTAGGCTATGCATTTGTATATTTATGTTTGTTTTCACCACTGGAAATTTTCTATGCACTTACAACTGAAGAAGTGACATGAAAATCTGAAAAGTTACTCAAGTTTTTTAATGTTAAAAAAGTAAACACCTTTTAGATTTTAATATTAACTGTGTTGTATAAATATGTGCATTTGTCTCCTGCTTCTAATTTGTATATTGTACCTATAGGTGACTACTAGTGTGTATAGGTTAGCGGTTAAGATCCCAGGCTCTGAAATCAAACTGTGGGGTTTAAGTGTCCTATGTGCCACATTAACAGTGTCCTTCAGGATCCTGAGTCAGTTTCTTACCTATAAAGTGGGGATGAGAACACTATCTTAACTGATGTTAAGTGTGAGTCCTAACTTATGTTAAGATAGTGTTATGGCAATAACACTCTCTATACTTATGCTATCTATATTCAATATACTTATGTGAAGTGTATGTAATCCTCATACCATTTGGAGCCAAAAAAATTTGCTCCAATTGGTATGAGGATTACATACACTTCACATAAGTATACTGAGTACTCAATAAGTGTTTATAATCTTTGTTGTTGTTACATAATGCTTTAAAACTATAATATCAGTAAAAGTAGTATCTTTAAAATAATGTATGCTTTCAGGAACTAATATCATGTGATAATTTCCAGCAGTTCTAACAGGTAGAAAGATATTATAGACATGGTTTGACCACCGATGTTTTTCAAAGTTGGGATTGCTAAAGAAATTTAACTGTATTAAAAGAGAATGCAGTGAGCTCTCACCTCTTACTGCAGGTACTCTAATAGACTGTGGCTTTGTGGTGGTACATCAGTATTTTAGAGAATAGTGTCTATGTGATTTATTCTATCTCACTAATACATGATTTATTGTGCTGAAACACAGAAGACAATACAGTTGGCCCTCCACGTCAGTGGGTTCTGTATCTGTAAATTCAACCAACCGGATAGTTGGATATTTAAGGGAAAAAATGGATGGTTGTGTCTGTATTGAACATGAACAAACTTTTTTTCTTATCATTATTTCCTCGATAACATACTATAAAAATTTATATAGCATTTACATTATATTAGGTATTACAAATAATCTGGGGATTATTTAAAGCATATGGGAGGCTATGCATAGGTTATATGCAAATACTATGCCATTTTATAAAAAGGGACTTGAATATCCAAGAATTTTGATATCTCTGAGGGGTCCTGGAATCAGTCCCCTGCCAATACTGAAGGATGAGTTTTATAATAATAAGATGACTGTATCTTCCTTTTTGTAACATAGTCCTAAGGATACTGACTAAAGGCAATCAAAGATTAAAAAATACCATAATGCAAAGTATGGTTAGTTTCTCATTCTCACAAAGAAGAATTCATAATTAAGAAAACAAGTATCTAATTTCCAGATAATACTACAATAATAATCTTAGAAAAAAAATGATAAAAGTTAACAACAATTTTTAAAACTTCAGGTTAACTGACACAGTTGGTGGTGTCCTGAATGCTTACCATTTGGAATAGCTGATAACTTTCCCAAAGTGTCATTCAAAGCTCTCAAGAGATCCCCATTTCTAACATCAGCATTTTCTATCCTGGTTTTTAAGTCATTTAGATGGTCTTCATTTTCTGTGAACAGAAAACAGAAAGAGTATTAAATAAGTTTTGTCATCTCTGAGCTTATACCTGGATGTGCAATTTCAGGTTATTTTAATATAAAATCAATAAAAAGCAAGAAAATGTATTTAATGTATTGGCATCTATACATAAATATATTTCTAATCATAATAAAATATGTGTTTTATTATCATTGAATCACTGGATACTTCTACATGTTGAACAATGACATTTTCTTTTTGGTATCTGATCTTTATTTTCCTATAGAGGAGAAACCTCCAAAGAATTAATCTTTTATTACATTTGTAATAATGCCCTCTAGTTATCACTCCCATTGATTCCACTTATTTAAAAACTTTTATTACCAAAAGGAATCATTGGGTTAGATTTTCAAAATCTCAGATATGATTTTTGAGCAGAATCCTCCAACTTTAGTAAATAATATTTATTTGGGTAAAAACATAAGTTAAAGAAATTGAAAACTTTTAGCACATATATGACAATAATCATTTTTCTCATAAAGAAAACAATATTTTTACAAATTGGGTCCAACAAACATTACATAGATTTTTTTGTCTTGCTACTTTAGCAATGTTATCTTTAATATCCAAAAATACCATTTGCTAGAGGTAATTCAATGTTACATATACAAGATTTCCAGCTTCTTTCCACTAGCTTTTTAGTGTTCTCTAAACTTTAGTTTAATTTATATTGTAATCGTAACTAAGCAGTTTAAATTCAAGTACAACAACATAAAGAGTAAAACTTGAAATCATTGAGGGGAAAGAAAATAAAGATCCAAGCTGTTGATATAAGTTTAGAAATCATGCTTAGGTATGCATTAAACTGCAAATGTATCATAAGACTGAAATGGAGCTCATCTGTCTTCTTTTTCTTACATCATGTATTACTGAAAACTGAAATTGAAAAAAAATGGGAAAACTTCTATACTTCCCACAATACTATTTACCTCTCTTGACTGCATACAACGGATCATTTCTTAGATAGATTTTTAATAGTTTCTTATGCCATAAAACTTTTTTTGGGGGGGATGCATACTAGTTGTTAAATTAGCTCCACAGAAATGCAATATTTAAATACAAGTCAGAGTCCCCAAGTAAGGAGGAGCACTGAGAAAGGACCAAGAAAGAGAAGGTGTTCCAGTCCCTCCTGGATAGGATGGACCAATATTTAGTAAGAGTAATGCCTGACAAGCATTGAGTATGTATGTTACACGGATTTAGTGTTCATTAGTTTCAGTGGGTTGTTTTACTTAATCCTTACAATAACACTGATGTATGATGTATATGATGATGTAATACTATTACAATCTCCAATTCACAAATGAGGAAATTGAGACTTAGAGAATTTAATCAAATTCCCTAAGCCTGCATGGTTAATAAATGGCAGTGGTAGTATTCAAATCTGCCTAGTTTCATTCCATAAATAGTGCTAACTACTGCCTTCTACCAGGGACTGATAGTCAAAACCAGGGATTAGTAGAGCATGGTGGGTGGTAGTCCTCCTCCTACTCTCACCCTCAACCTTTTCTTCCTGTCTTCCTCCTTTCCTTTGTCTTCCTCTCATTTTTCTCACTTGTTGTCTTAAAAAAATTGGTCACAGTTACAGAAATCAGAGAAGCCTCACCTGAGAAACATACAAAACCAAATTGTAATTATTCAGAGTGGATTAGCATTGTCTATGTGCAAAACTGGGAGGCAAATATGCGAAGTGTTCCATATTTTTAAGAATAATCAGTAAAATATGAGGATAGGTAGTTCACAACAAAATAGACATAAATAATCAATTATGAAATTCCTAAAAAGCACTCAATGTTATCATAAAGAACTGTAAAACTAAGTAACAGTGAGATATCATTTGTCATCATTCAGATTGTGGAAAGTTAAATGTATGATAATGCCAAGTGTTCACAAGAGTGTGAGTGGAAGTGCAAATTGATTCCATTGTTTAAAGAGCAATTTAATAAGTTTATTAGAATTTTAAATAGACATATATTTGGTTTGGCAGTTCTACCGACAGAAATTTACCCTACAATATACTTGTAAAAGATTTAACTTTGGGGATACTCATAGCTCTCTATATGTAATAGAAAAAAGGGGGGTGGGGATAAAAATACCTAATAAGATTAAAGTACTGTTTGTATCAACATAGCATGTTCATACAACGGTACATATGCAACCTATAAAAAGAAGTAGATGAGTGGATGTGGACATGAAACAAACCTTAAGACCTTTCCATGAAAATAAGCAAGATGCAGCACATATACACTGACATGTACGCAAACATTTGGCATGGTAGGGTCTGGTGGGAGCTGGGTAGAGAACATGCCAAAAACCTTTACAGTACTTAGAGTGAGTAGAAAAGAGGAATGAATGAGGCAGTTAATAGTGCCATGAGGGACAATGTACTAAAATGTCTCATTTTATACCTGATTGTGCTGGGTAAATTACTTTCCGTGTGCATATATTTCTATATTTTTATTTAAAAAAAAAGCATAAACCATCTAACTGGGGAAGAATGTTATTCGCTTTCTTGATGTTATTTCCCAACTCCAAGACTGTGGTTTTCATTACTTTCCTGGTACCCAGAGAAGGCAGATGGGAGAGAATATGCCCCATAGAATAGAGCTGGGGCAGTCTTGATTTGTGTGTGTGTTCACCCCTTTCAGAGGTAGTGCATGTGGCTCATTAGAGGAGCCGTGCAGGCCATGGGCAGCTGGAGAACTATCCTCGTCTTTATTGGCCTGCATTTGCAAAATATAGCAAAGAAAAAGCTGGATGGATGGAGGGTTCTGAACTATCAGTGTCTGGATGTGAAGAAGAGCACTGAACATATTAATTAATGATCCACTCCATTTCATATAGAGTTTTATAGGCAGACACCTCAAACCTCTGTTATGCTACGGATTATAGTAATACAAGCATATAACATTGTTTAAAGTGTCTGTTGTTAAATTTCAAGCCCAAGAGCTGACATCACCGAAAAACAAGGCATAAAATATTTCAGCAAAGCATGGCTCTAAAACATCAATATGTCTACTTCAGTAACTAATAGATTATTATTTTATATTCTAATCCAGCAAAACATACTTTCCAAGTAATTGAATTTCTCCTCTGTCAATCATAATTCATCTTTCTTATAATGCTTCTGTTATTTTTACTGTTTATACTAAAATAAAATATTTGGATAGGTTACTAAAAGCATACTCTCTGAAATAAAGCCAGTCTGATTATGGCTGTGATATCCATACAAATTCTTTGAGAATAAAGGGCTGCTCTTTTGATATTAGCTTGACAGTCTTCAACACTTAAGAAAATGGAACTGTAGAAATTTCCTTTTTTAGCTTCTTGATTGAATTTAATTTTTAAAATAACGAAGCATTCAAATGTTCTGGCAAGCAAGATATTCATGTATGATGAAGAAAATCATTAATTTGAAGGGGATCCCTGGGTTTATACCACTTTCTGCATTCTGATAGCAAAATACTGTCTGAATAATTGGGCCAATTGTTCAGAAGAAAGTCTGACCTGAAGAATATTTTTGCTGCTGCCTCTCAAGTTCCAAAGCAATGATTATGACGCTCTGTCTTTTTTGTTCTAGCAAGTTACAAAAATACAGAATTATATTCTGACCCTGTTCTGATTTTTTGTTTAATGTTTCAGCTGCTTGACTTTGATCCTTATTAATTTGCCCTCTCTTATGCTGATCATTTTTTTCTAAAGTAGTTTCTGGAATTTCTTGAACCAAGTCTAAACATTTTGTAGTTTTGGTGATAGAATTAGATGAGTAGAAGCTATTCAGAGAAGAATTGCAAATTTCAGGATGGAGCTTACAAAATGATAGAGAGAAAAACCTAGAAAAATAAGCACTCCAAGACTGATTTTAACCAAAAGATGGAGGAGACATAGTGTATCCATAATTAAAATGTAAGAAAGAACTCTTGTGGTTCAGTTTGGATTGTAACAAGGGTGAAGAAACAGAATTATTGATAGTTAAAAGGAAATCCAACTGAATTTTTTTACTTGTGATTTCTGGAGAAGAAGAAGATTTAATTTATAATCCATATTTACATTTTTTAGATTCCCTCTCTTTATTCCTTCAGCTCTCCTACCCAATAACAGAAGCCTAGTCATTCTATTTTTTCTCTAAAGATCGCATTCACCAAAACTCAAAGGCTACACATACATATATCTTTAGTTCTAGCTCTCCCTTTCTCATATTCTCTTCATACAGTAGAAGACAAATGTCCAAGAATTAGTTTGGCAAAGGCAAGGCTCACAAAATGAGGAAATGGAAGAAGTAGAGTAGCAAGGGTCGACTGAGAACACACGGACAGTGTAATTTTCCTTTGTCACATGCCCATTGAAATGTCACAGGATAGATATATCCAGAATAAAAATTGCAAGGCAGAGTTTCCAGTCGTTTGCACTAATAATGAGCAGTTACTCATGTTTATCGTGTCTCTGGCATGGTGCTAAATATAAATTAGGGCTTAGTTATATTAGAACTAACTATGTATGATCTCAAAATAGAGCTACTACACATTATTTCACTGATCATTAGTAATGCTTTCCTTTATACAATTCTAGTAATTAAAAAATATTCTGGTACAATGAAATCGTTGTAAGACACAGGGTTGGAAGATGTGGGTTCAAATGTCATTTCTATCTGTTTTTAGATGTGTCAAATAAAGATAACATCTTCCTTCATGTGACTGATACGGGAAATAAATTGGGAGATTTTTGAGAAAGTGCTGGATTTACCATAGGCAGTTAGTAAAAGGTAATACATTGACATTAGTTTGAAAATTTTCCTGGTGTGTTTTACCAGTTTTTATTATACTAATGTTATTTATGACTTTATTTCTTCTTCATTTAAACTACTTGGTCCAGATTCTAAGTTTATTTCCTTTTTATATTTCCTAAGCATATGTATACATACATATATACTCCTTACTTTACAACTAAATATCAGGATGATTTTAATACATT